ACACACTATGACCTCCCCTCCTTCCCACTTTTTAAAAGTCACTGACCGTTTGGATTTCAGTAGCTTCTAACTGAATCGGTGTGGTTGCAAATTTTGTTTTTCTCCTGCAGAGTTATCTTAAGCTGCTGCTGAAAACATAATTCCTGATATGATTCTATCACAATAAAAGTCTCTCAAAGCTTGGAAAGTGGGAAATTTTACTCTCAAAGATTAACAGGAAATTGAACTTGTTAATCATTCAATGGACGTGTTAATTCAGTGGACTTGTTAAATTAATTGGACACTCAATGGACTTGTTAAAACAAGGTAATCATTCAGTGGAGCTACAATATGTGGAGAATTTTAATAACACTGTCGGCAGTTTTCAGCTTATCTCTCACCACGATTCAAAGCCACAGTCTGCTTCTTTTAAATGTCATGGACTTAATGCAACATGCATTGCATGTTTAGGTGAGTTTAAACACACCTAAACCCAACACAGTTTCAGCAGATGTCTGGTTTTGCTCAAGGTGTCCACTGTAATTTTGCTAAATGTTGCTTAGTGATGTGCTCATGACAGAATAATGTTGGGCCTTTGTAGATAACATTACAAAGAATAAGGTCTTTTACCTGCTCTTTTGTAAAGGGTCTTGAAACAACATTTGTTGTGAATTGGCACTGTTCAGATAAAGATGGACTGATTGAATGACCTTAAAGCAGGTAATGGAGATGCAAATCCATTCCAGCACAAAGCCTCAGACACACAGAGACGTGCTGCAGGCGAGCACACCCACTTAATGTTGCTGCTATTTGGAGCAGGGAGAACGCACCTTTACCGGATTGCCATTATTTACTTTCATCGAAAGTGCAGAAATTTTGTAGTGATTGGTCAAAGTTCCAGGGCCGTGCAGAATTTGCTGTGATTGGTTGAATTTACATTAATAGTTGTGATCGCAACATCCCGAATTTCTGGAGGGACTGATACTCTGAATCTGCAGATGGCAACGAACCAACAGTTGATGAACAGTATTCTTACGGTTAACAAACCGGTTGTGATTATGAAACATATGTTAATGAAGGAGATTTTTTTTTTTTGAGTGGGAAGAAAAAGCCATTGAACACTGTTTGTGATGGAGTATCCATGCCAACCTTTGAAGAAGTGCTTCTAACCATAGGGTTTCCATCGTTTGTGTCACTGTTTTTAGACTGGCCTCCACCTTGAGCTCAGCTGCAGATTCAGGTCACATCCACGTACTCTGTTAGCTGTAATGGATCGGCCTCCCCGCTGTGCTGTCCATGTGGATCAGATTGAATTTCTAAACATGTTAAATATTGAGCTGTAAAATAGACACAAATATTACACAGTACATGAAGAATGAATGATACGATTATTTAAATAAAAAAAATAAAACAACCACAAAATGGATTGTCAAAAATATGAAATTTAAACTAGATCAGTTGGTCAAGATTACTTTTGCCTTTAGTACCTGTTAGTTACTTGATATGAGTCAAACTAATCCTGTGTAAGTAGAGTTACATAGAGAAATACTGAAAGTGAAGGATATGGAGCAATCGACTTTTCAGCTGTAGTAACCAAGCTGAAGTTAACTTTCTTATGATTCATGGGGAGCTTTCTTCAGCCTTTTAACGATTGCAATTTGCAAACAAGATGAACCTCTATCTTTTCAGAATTGTTTAATTTTCTTTTGTTTTTGTCTGTCATGACGGACCTCAAAGCAAAATGGACACTGGGCCATATTTTAATCATGTATTGTATGAAGTGCAGGGCTCAATTGAATTCAATGCATGTCCAAAGCCATTTTCATACATGTAAACCGGAAAATTTCTAGAAAATCTCAGATAGGCTGCCCCTGAAATTTTCCAGGAGACTTTCCCTGTTGGACTAGAGGACATGATGATAAAGTGCACATGTAATGTCATTACTTCCTCTTGCTGCCTCACAGGGGATTCTGAATATCTCCTGCAGTGTCCTCACATCGGCTAGGAAAAAGTTGGAGAGGAAAATTTGGCTGTTTGGGTTTATAAATGCAGCAACAATGTTGGTGTCCAGTATCTAGGATTTATGTGCATGTCTGAATACACTACAGCTAAACCTTTGCCACTAAAACAGTCCCTAAACTGATTGAAAAAGTCAGATTCAATCCATTAAACCGGGTAACTTAAAACTGCTCTCAGCCATCTCATTTTAATTGCCAATTTTTTACCATCTTTAATAAAAAGACAGGGATCAGGTCAGACTAGAGCACATTTCACTTTTTGTTCTTTCAACCTGCACATGTACATGCACAGCAAAAATGGGCCTCTGTATAAAATATTGTGAGGCACAGATTGCATTTTTTTAAACAATGCATTGTTAATAAAGTAAATACACATTTTATTTATAAATGCTGCTGGATCACATGGTATGGAATATTAATTCTGAATGGGCAATGCACACAGTTAGTAATAATATGTTTGGGCTCTTTGTCTGTGTCACTCTTAGTAATGTTTGAGGGTTATTATAAATTTAATTACAGCATGTACGGTGTGTCTTGGCCTTGAATTATTGCTTGGCTTGACTTTCTAGAAAGTGCAGGGATCTCAGAAATCCACCAAATGTCCCAGAGGTGAGGCAGGTGTGGGAGGAATTATTAGTGAGCCTTTCCTTTCCTATTCTTTTGGCATCAATGGAATGCCTGCACAAAGCCAAAGCCTGCTTAATGATGGCAGACGCTAGATAAAACTAAAGCTTTCCAGCTCCCAGTCCTCTTCTAACAACAACAACTCCATTTGACTGCATCGGCAAAGTCCTCTGTGTATACACGTTTCTATCTGAATAATGAAATTAAGCTGCAATTAAAATTGCAGAAAAAACTTTGCCATTAACTATAAACAAGGTTTTTGTTGCACAATTTCTTTTCATTACCTAAAGAAAGTATTGCACTTACAATGTACCTGAATCTTCCTTTATATAAAACAAACATGTCCATAGGATACCAGGAAGAATAGTACATTTACTATGATGATCGATGGGACTCAAGGACTTAAATGTAATGTTCTTTACATTTTATAAAAGTATCTTATATAAAGTGTATTTTCTCATGATGTCAAATAAACTCACAGCAAACCAAATAATACAATTCATATTTGAAATCTAACTCTGGACAACTTGCTTTAGCTGCTGCTAGAAGGCTCTTAACTACTTACCTGTAAGGTTCATTATTGGCTGATTCATTATTTATTTTTACAGTGAAAGTTTTTTTTTTGCGTGGAGGGGAGGCTGTGAGGGTAGGGGGCAATGAGAGCGTCATTTCATAAAGTCTGCATATTGAAGAGAAATGGCCCGTCATTTAAAAGTTAACTTGAACTCCTTCCGGTTCTCTGAGACCCAGTCATTGAAAACACATGCTTCATGTCACCACCCACTCTCTCCTCCCAACATTTCCTGTCTCTCTTCATCTGTCCTATCCAATAAAGGCAAAACACCCAAACATATATAAAATAAATATCTAAAGCATTATTGTAATGCACTTATATTATTACAATTAACTGTAAACATCTGCAGGTGTATTTGGAATATTCTGTGACCAATTTATCATCATTTATACGCATGTAAGTGTTCATAGTTATAGCCAAAGACTCCACATCTTTTGAATCAGACTTCCACAGAGAGAAACATTAATAGGTGTTTGGGCACGATGTGTTCCAATCATACCAGCTAAATTGTCACTTAAAATGTCCTTAAGTATGATCTCCAGAAAAAGAGTGGGAACCCTGAGCTCCAGGTGAACTCTTGATAGTCACTGATGTCAGAGTGCACAGATTAGGCTGTCTACAAAAAGGCAAAAGGCCCTTAAAAGGAATCTTCTTCAATAAATATGGATGCAGTAACAAAATACGTAAACATGTTTGCCAATAAGCTTCTATGGTATTCTTTGCTCTTAAGATATCATCACATATTATTTTGCAGACCTATGTGACCTTTAAGCATCTCACACTTTTCATCTGTACAGATATTGAGATCACAAACTGCATTGAATCCACTTTTAAGGCCAGTCTTTCACAACAGTAAACATTCAGTCATTTCAAAAGACATACAGAATATGATTCACTTTATGTCCAAATAACCCACGATGTATTTGAAGTGGTAAATCTCAAAGCAGTTATTTGGTGATGGACTTGGAAACAGACTTAGTAAAGAAATGGTACTGCCTGAGATGAAATTCTTTCATATTGCTAGTCGTGCATAGTGCTTCTGCAACGCTGAAATGCAATGTGAATTCACAGACTGGGACACCAATATTACGCTGTTGCGGAATCATAAAGAACAAAAACATGATGACTGCTGAGCAGTCTTAAAAGGGCAAATGAAGCACCAACAGAAAAAAACTGAAAGTTGCAGATCACACTAATGGCTCCTGAAGGAGTTATTCATGGTCATTGTGTATCATGTAGAATATTGGAGTCTTTATGCAAAAAGTCCCACAGGTTGTTGTTTTGGTGTGATTATCATTTCAATGTGATTAGGTTTGATTACATTTGTTGCACTGTGCATAAATGATGTGCTCCTGCTCGCTGCATGAATAATGGAAAACATGTCCAAAGGTACAAAAACTCCATCTCCAGCAAAGACTGTTCTCTGCTGCTTTTGATTTAATATCCCATATTTCATGTAGATTAACATCTAAACCCTTAAATATGCTTAGAGGTGTAGCTGTATAACTTACCATGTATTTTATTAACCTGCAATGTGAGCCTTCCATTTATCCAGTAAAGTGAAGTCTGCGTGTTTGGACTGAGAGAGTGTTTTATAGACTCCTAATTAAGCATGATTTGCTCTAACATTTCACCCGTTGGGAAAAATAAACCGTGTCCGCTTGAAACACTGGATCAATGGAGGGTTTCTTTTAGTCAGAGGATTATTAGTTGTCTGATGTGTCTCTTGATGTTGTGAACAAGGTAGTGTGGGTCTTGCTGTTGTCAGTTTAATGACTGTGGCTGCAGAACCCCATCAGTTATCAACCCCCTGGGACTGCCGCACGAATCTCACCGAGAAGAGATGGAGAGGGTCTGAGGACAAAACAGAGACACGAGGACAGAAGAGAGAGAGCAAAAGATCCCACCGGCTGATTTCACACTGCAAGAGTGATTATAGCAGGTGATGTGGTAACGTCAATATGCTATCAGTCACACAGATACAGAAAATACATCTTAAAAGACTGAGAGTTGTGAATGATTGGGTTGACGACTGCAGGATGGTTAGGTACGTAATTAAGCACTGATCACACATAACTGAGTTCATAATTTATACATCTTCACATCCCAGTTGCCACACATCACGTGCTACACATGACCTCCATCTCTGACATCAGCAACACAAGTCAAATCATCTGCGGCAAACACACCATGGTAGAGAGTGCAGGTGGCAACATTCAGCACAGAATTTCCATATAGAAGTAGCGTTGTAATGTTGTTTTGTTTGTCAAGGACACAAAAGCTCCCCCAGGCTTCATCTGTCTTATTAAAGAGCCACTCTGGTTTATTGCTGCTGAATCTGCAGCTAATAAAAATGAGTTTATTGTTTCCATTCAAATGTAGAATCCTTTTGTTTGCTGCATTCTGAGAATCCTTCGACTGTTTGTCAGTGATGTTTTCTTGCCAAACTCAGATCTCGAAATGAAATAGTATGGAAGATAAGTTAGGAATAAATGAATGCTTAGACATACCGCTAGCTGTCTTTGTTTAGTCTGTATATAAAAGTGGTCGTTTATTTTAAAATTATTCATTCAAACACAACTCTCAATCTTTTTTTTGTTAACATCCCTAAAAAATGCAATAGTTGTACTTCAAAAAGTGTGTTTTTATAATGTCATCACTCATATAAACTGTACTGCTCCTGTCAATACATTACATTTGCTTTATCATCTAAGTGTGTATGAATGATAAGATGAAGGGCTCCTGCATCGGCACAGATGCATAAATCACTCCTGTTCTCCATCTCTTTTTTATCTCTGTCCGTCATCAATTATTCATTAATCCTGTCATCAAACAAGTTTATAACAGCTTTTTACACATAGAGCCAGTCTGAGAATCTGAGATTACTCTCCCTGAACTGCTGATGTTTTCACATATGCACCCCGAGAAATATCTAGACAATTTGGGAGGGCTGCTCCCATGATTCTCCCGCCCTGGCTGTTCACATATGCTCCTCTCAGGGGGAGACTATCCCTGTCAGAAGGGAGAAGGGGGTCTCATGAGGTAAGACATGACTTGAAAAAAACGACGCGAAAGTAGCTTAAGAAGCAACAGAGTCCGCTATACGATGCTATAATGAGAATATTTGCCTTTATATCAATGCAATGTGTAATCCAATGGAATGACAACATCCACAAAAGAGAGGAGAACAACATACTGATGAACAGAAAACAGAATGCAGCCGTTTAATTACGTGTACGGAGATTGTAGTGGTCGCATGCATACAGTCTATGCACCATGCAGCAGTAACAGTATAGAAAGGTCACTCCCACTCCCATTGGCTCGAGGTGAATTATCCAGAATATCCTATGGCGTTCTCACATAAGCACACTCTGACTACTAGGGAGAAAATTCGGTGAAATCCGAGCAAAGAATTCTTCTGTTTGCGTTCACACATAGAGCTCCTCCTGGAAATCAGGAGTTTTCTGCAAGTGTGAAAGCCCTATTAGACGTGATGGGATTGCAAAATCGGAATTTTATTAGGAAGAACTGAAAAAGTTTATTTTTTTTATTTTTTTTATAACAAAGCATCTCATCACAACAGAATTCATCTTAGTGCATATTTAATTTACACCATTGACTCTTTGGAATTACATTTGCAGAAAACAACCTAAATCAGCCACAGTGGAAAGGAAGCAAGTTTATTTTATTGTTTTGATAGTTTTGAGTACTGCTTTAAGATTGTGTCCAAAATAAGATCCTGAACTTTCTCTTTTGACAAAATTGTTCATAAAAACCTCATGCCAGCAAAGCCAAATCCTATGGTATAGTATCGTTACATATTGTAACGGAACGTTTCAAATTTTTTATTTGAAGTCAAAAGACAAAACACGAACAGAGCAACATAGGTAACACTTTGCCACCTGACAAGAGAATCATGGGAGTTTATGCCCTTTGTGTGTGAAATGAAAGCAAAGAAGAACATTGCTTTCCCAATGTGAACATCAGCTTATTGTCAGATTGAAAACATTTTATGTTATAGGTTTCCATATTTCACAGAAAGATTTAGATGATTGCTAGTTCTGTCCTTACTGCATGATATCTTGCATAAGAATTCTGTCAGTGCGTGTAGGTTTGACAAAGGGCAATAACTTTCTCTCCTGCTGTCATGCATGAACTGTAAGGGAAACGTCAACATGTGGGATATTAAATACAGATATTTGTTCAGTCTCTGAATCAGGTTAGAAAGATATTATGATCTTCATAATTGGAAGGAATGTCTTGTGATAGTGATATTAAAAGATAATAAACTGATGTAAGGAAAATAACCTGTTAGCAAGCTATAAAGAGACTCACTGTTGAAAGTAAATAAATAGAATTGAATTGCTCCAGCCACTGGCACATTAGCACAAGGGTTTAAAAGCAACGAAAAGACAGAATTAATTATGCTTTCTCACTCCCAGTAATTGCTTGTTGTCTTTGAAAAGCTTAAGATAGCTGCTGTGTTAATTAAAACATTCAAATATGTTGATATCTTCATTAATATGTCCTGCAATTGCATTGTTTTTTTCCAAAGTGCTGACATCAAAGCAGCCAATTGTGTTAAGCACTCAAACATGGTTTTCTCATTTAGCCACAGTGAAGGTTCATTATGGTACCTGCTCACAGTGTTGCAGTGTATTTGGATAATCCTTTAGTGGGGAAAGTGGAGACTAAAGTTTATGGCTTAAGCTTGCTTGAATGGTTTATTAAGGTCATCTAGGTGTTTGCTTCAGTCTAGATGTTTTCTTAACAGCCTTTTGAAGCAGCCTCATCCTTGAAAGCCATCATTTACCACATGATCCAGGGAACTTTGTAAGATATAGTAAAGGGGTTTATAATACCTTGGTGCAAATGCACAAGAAACTTGTGTATGGTCATCTCATTTGACAATGCCTCAGGGTGTCATGTCAGGTCATGAGATGACTTGGAAATGAAGGCCTGCAGCAAAAGTTCAAGCTACGATTGAATACCATCAGCTGAGGCGAGGAGCCTAACACTGCGTCCCATTCACCGTCTGTTCCAGCTTCATGTCAGGACCCCTCTTTTACTTTCTTTCATAACCAAAGCAAAACCAACTTTATTGCCTTTTTTGTTTTTTAAATGTCATTGACGCATTTACGTTATAATTTCACTGGAATTTATGATCTTTCCATCATTTTTTTCCAATGAAATCTCTCACTTGAACAACAAACCAATTGTGAAAAATGTCTTTTGACTTAATCCAAAGCAACACACAAATAAAACTTGAGTTAGGAGTAAAAAATGGGACGAGAAACAAAGAAAACATTTATTTGACTTGTTTTGTAGTATTCAAGAGTGTGGTGGGTTTGGTGTGGTGAGCAAACATGCTCTGGATCCAGTGTCTGAAAAAGGGACAATTTAGCAGCTTACGTTACTTACTGTTGTGAATACAGGACGAGAAGTCAAAGTCCTTTTTTAAACTCATATTTGTTAGTGCAAAAAATAAAAGATTATGATGTACACTTCAGTTGTGATTGGTAATGGTAAGGCTAAAAGTCTTGTACGTTAAATGTTGCTCTGTTGCTTTTTGTACCACCAAAGAGTCTTAATACATCAGAGAAGCACAGCAGAGGCTACACATGGATCAAACACCTTGTTTAAATGTTTGAAGTTGAACATTACAGTTACAGGGTTGCCTTCATTGCTTGTAGACCATGTATCATTTAGTCAGACTCGTTATTACATAAAACCAGGTATTATTTCAAGCCGGGCAGGATACTGCGCGCCCTCCCCCCCTCTCTCACCCACTTTTCCTGTCATCTTCGTTCCGTCACTGTCAAAGAAAGCCAAAAGGCCCTTAAAAGGAATCTTGTTCAATAAATATGGATGCAGTAACAAAACATGTTTTTTTCATTATTTGGCTTAATTTCATGATTCAGATAGAAACGTGTATACACAGAGGACTTTGCTGATGCAGTCAAATGGAGTTGTTGTTGTTAGAAGAGGACTGGGAGCTGGAAAGCTTTAGTTTTATCTAGCTTCTGCCATCATTAAGCAGGCTTTGGCTTTGTGCAGGCATTCCATTGATGCCAAAAGAATAGGAAAGGAAATGCTCACTAATAATTCCTCCCACACCTGCCTCACCTCTGGGACATTTGGTGGATTTCTGAGATCCCTGCACTTTCTAGAAAGTCAAGTCAAACATGTTTGCCAATAAGCTTCTATGGTATTCTTTGCTCTTGAAGCACTGGCGGTTTTGGGGAGGGGCCAACAGGGACCAGTGCTCCTGCTCCTGAGCTTGGACCCCCCCCGTGCCCCCCCCCCCTCCAAACGAAGAGCATGTTAATAAAAAAATGTATTTATTTCAATGATATTGCGCTGATGCAAAAGCAAAAGGCCGAACAACTGTGGCTCAACCACAGAGCTTAAATTAAAAGAACGGCCACCCCGTCAAATTAACAACGAACTAGTCATTCTAATTCTGTGGGCTCAAGATTCTCGTCGGACCCTTTAGAGCGGTACATTGACGCTGCGTCCGCTAACGACGTTACCCTCCACTGCCAGATCTTATTGGAGGCAAGCAACCAAGATTATAATGCTACGAGACCAATAACGTTGACACGAAAGATTTAAGGTGAGAAATACATTTTTATTTGTGTAGCCTAATTGTTACAAGGTAAGACTGGTCAGGAAATGTTGTTGTTGACTAGTTAGCTAACTTAATAGCATTAGCAGCCACACCAGCCCGAACAGTTAAAAGTTTACTTGCATTAATACTTGTTGCTCGTAACGTAATGTTAAGTTTTGCGATATCTAATGTTTTAAAGAAATGGGCTGTCTTCATAAATGGTTAGCCTGACGGCATGCTATAACGTACATAATTCCTAGCGCAAAGGCTAACGTTACCACAACGTAGATCCAAGTCTGTAACAGTAACGTTAGTTCACTATTCTGGGTTACTCAAGTGTTGTGCATTCCTCCCCATTGTTTTTTGTCTATAGAGGTTATCAAGATGAAGAGAAACAAGGACGGTATGTCATATTTCGCCCCCAAAAGTAGAGACAATGATGAGGCAGACACAGACGATCCAGGTGTTGAGAGCGCCGAAGAGAAACAGGGAGTGGAGAGCGTAAAAGAGGGAAAGCCAGGGGACTTGATAGATGACAGTGAGGACACAGAGACGGAAGATGACGCAGATGAAGGTCCAGAGAGTGAGGCTTTGGGTGAAATTCAACGAGAGTTTGAGACACAAGAGGATACAGGTGCATCCACAAGCACTGGACCATCAGGTGTTGAATTGAAGTTTAGATTGTGTGTCCATGTAGAAGTGTGTTGTCTTATCATTGAGAATAAATCAAATAAAATTCTCCTTCATGTCATTGATTCATAATTATAGATGTAATTGGTGTTTCTTGATTGCTAGTGAATTATATGCCATATGTTTTGGTTTGACTTTCTCCACAGATATCAGCAGGGGTAAAGAAGACCCACCGATGCAGCCAAACATGACATTGTTTCCACAGACCTTGATGGGGGACAGGAGAAGGAGCTTCAAGGCCACCTGGTACAACATGTACCCCTGGCTTGAGTACTCCAAACAATCAGACTCGGCATATTGTTACGCCTGTAGACATTTTAGCCCCCCTAATAGCTCAGACTCAGTTTTTGACTCACCATCCGGATTCAAAAACTGGATTTGCAATCCATGCCAAGTCTGAGAGGTATACATATTCAATGATTACATGGAGAGACTATCAGAGAGCTGTAGCAAATAATTCAACACTGCCAAATGTCCTAAACAAGGAACATAACAGACTGGTTGCAGAAAATCGGGAATACATAAAAACCATAGGGGAAGTGCTACTACTTACTGCCACACAAAACATTGCTCAAAGAGGACATGATGAGTCTGCAGTCTCAAATAATAAAGGAAACTTCTATTTGTAAACTCTTAACATGTTTTTTTGTACTGTATATTTTGTATGTGAATCTTAATCTGCAAAGTAACTGTAACTAGTTGTAAAAAAAAGTTGAATGTTTCCCTTTGAAAATTAGGAATGTAATGCAGTATTAAATACTGTTACTGAACCAAATACTGTGACGGAAACACTGAAACAAATACCAATCATGGTATTTTATGTTGTCCGCTATCTTTTGTTAAGATGCCATTAAACATTATTAAAGAATGAACATCTTTGTCTCTTTTTGTCCTCGGTAGAATGTGTCCCTCTGACAAAACAACTGGCCCCAGCCTGGCCCCCTCAGTAAAAGTGACACGTTACCTTTCACAAAAGTGGCAACCTCCAATGATGAGAATTGTGAAGGAAAATGCCCTTTTTTATAGAAAAAATGAACCTGTAATGACATATCTCTTTATTATGGGTAAAGGGTGATTTTGTTTTAAATTCCTGGTCTGTTTGGATTACATGAAGGCTCAAGTGTATGCATACATCTGCATAATTACAAAATGTCTTTTCAGAAGGTCTATGTGTTATTCAGTCCATGCTTTCACCCCATGTTTATCGAATAATGTCTGTGTGGAGGGAAACTGGTCACATCGTCTTTTATTCAAAGTAGAAAAAGAGCGATAGAGTAACATGATTTCTGAGGTAGAGAGTCAGAAATATTTTTGTAAAAATCATTATGTCTCACAGCTGTTTTCCTTTGCAGCCCGTCTGAAAAAATGGTAACCTTATTAGAGGATCAGTGATCTGAGCCACAGCACAGCCAGAGCCACAGCAGGCATGAATGCATCTGATCTGTCTTCCTACCAAGGGGAGGTGATGCTGGATAACTCCACCTGGGCTTACTCCTACTATAACATAAACTACACCCTGTCCCCTCCGCTGATACCAGACAAGACCAGCACGACCAAACCCGCAGCATGCGAGCAGGTCCACATCGCCGTGGAGGTATGTGTGCGACTGAACACCAAAATGCTTTCTTTGTTTATGTTAAATTAATTTGAACAAATTCATATATATTTAGATTTTTTTAAGTACTATTTTTGCTCTATAGCACTTTATTTTGTCTGACTGCATTCAATAAACTGCAAAGTTTTGCCAGTTTACTATGACTGCAGTTTTCTAAAAGGACTTTTACCTTATATAGGTATAATATGCAACTTCCAGAGTGCATTGACTTATTATTCTACTCTGAGCGTCTGTTATTGCTGCAGATTGATTTACATTATTTAGTTAAAATTCTGATGCAGATGGTGCAGTGCGCCTCTGTATGAGAATCAGAGGGCCGTGACTAATCGCTGGAATCTGACACCCAGTGAAGAGAAAGGCTTGGTAAAAACTGCCTACACATTTCTCCCTCAGTTAGTATGAGTGTTTGCATGACCCTCAGGATTTATTCTCTGTTCATTATCAGTATATGTTTTAAAGGGCAAGTAGTGGAATTGGTACTAGGGCTCTGACCCATGACATTTGGATAAATAGTGCTGTTAGTAAAGGAAGGTAAATATTGAAAAAGCTTTTCACATTCAAAATGTGATTGTCATTCATATCCCATAATACTTTTTCTGAGCAAAAGTCAAACATTTACAGGTTTCTGTTTTCCTCAATATATTAGGAATTTCTGAATTTTCTATCTAATTAATCCTAGGAAACATATCTGTGGACTGTTGGTTGGTCAAATGGAAACATTATACACTTTATCATAAGAGATTAAGGAATCATGCTATGTTGAAGTGCTGGCTTCTCTGTATACAATGCAGCAGCCAATATGTCTTCCTCCAAAAGTTTTGATTCCGGTCCTGAATGTTTGTTTTTGTTTTGACCAGAGAAGTAAGTTTTAAGGCACCCCCACTCGGCCATTTTCCCCCTCCCCCCTCGGTTTACCAGGCAAAGGGTAAAACCAACAGGTGTTAGGAAGCGATGGAAGTGGACAAGCAAACTGGTTCAGATGTAACTGATTCTACCCAAGCTAAAGTGCCTTGACATTTTTATAATAAGCTCCTCGGCCAGAATCATGGTAAAACGAGGATTCTCTATTGGAGATACTTTAGAAAAATAGAGACAAGTTAGAAAACAAAGGCTTCAAGACTGATGCAGAGCTGGCTAAACACTGACGCTTCCGTGTCTGGGGCATGGCAACCTGTGTCTGTATCGACTCTAGGGAGGAGGGGTGGGGGGAGACAGCTCTCTCCAGTGTTTTGAATTTGGATTGCAGTACCCATTTTAAATGGATCCACATATTGATTCTTTAAAGCCATGACTTGGGGCTCTGAAATTGTGATGAGCTTTATTTATTATTTCTTCAATGACCATTATATGAACTAAAGGTTACTGTAATAATTATTAATATAATTAAAAGTTTAAGGATCATTATTGCAGCCCTTTCAATAAAATTCAATATAAAACTGGGGACTAATGCTTTTTTAATATCTTTTTGAAGTGATGTTCATTAACATGCTTTGTTTCTACTGTAAATACAAACATAATGAATAAAATAAAGTCACATGTTCTAATATTTTTTTCTGTTACTCTGAATTCTACTTTCCTCAGGTATTTCTCATCCTCGGTATCATCTCCCTGCTGGAGAACATCCTGGTCATCACTGCTATCATAAAGAACAAGAACTTGCATTCACCCATGTACTTCTTCATCTGCAGGTGATCCGACTTGCAATATGACCTTTATGTGGACACATAAGCATGTTTGCCTTGTTGACATTAGCATTCAAACCAAAGTGCTGCTGTGCAAATGTACAGTCTCAAAAAAAAGCCAGTGTAGCGGTCGGCTCTTACTCCTGAATATGATCTCAATCTACAGTATCTCAACCTCAATCTACTCTTTAAGACCAGAACAGTTTGTGACATTTTGTACTGAATCATTTTGGAGCCTGCTTATTGTTCAGATCAGAATCAGGAATACTTCATGTAACCTCAGACAGAGATTGGGAATATAACTAAGACAAAGCAATAAGTACAAGAAAGAGTGTTGAAGGAATACAGCTATGTTCCAGGCACATGTTATTGAATTTATTATTGTAGTTAATAGAACAAACACTGATTGATTTGTTTACCTGAATGCGCACAGGCACACATGTTCCCTCATGATGTGGGATGAACTGAGTGTCAGAAGCACGGTTGTCATCGCACTCATTAAGTGACTGAAAAGAAAAAAAATAGAATGATGCTTCAACTCAACTTTGATATTTACACTAATCACTCATGACTCACTATTTACATCCGAGCAATGTGACATTAAAGGACAAGATAACAGAGTCTAAGTTGATACCCTGGGCATGTTCAGAGACAGAGCAGACATTCAGGTCACAGTGAATGCTTTGATGTTGTTCTGAATGATTTCTTTGAGACGTCTACTGAGTCTCTACACAGAGTGATGAACAGACCGACTAGATTACTGCAGGATGAGAGCATCGCTGTCTTTTATTTGAAAATACATCTACTTCAAGGGAAAAATATTTTTTCCCACTTTAAAAAAATGAATCAGTCTGACCCAACGAATGATGCACAAATTATTAGATAACAGAGCAACATTTTTTAAATGTAAATTCTTTATCCCAAAATTAGATGTTAGCTATTTTCAATATTCAGAATCTTAAATGGGGTGTCCACTAGATTTAACATAATGCAACCATTTCACACCAGAGTCAATTTCATGAATTAAAAATATGGCAATAAATTGTCATCAACTACCTATTTTCCAAGATGAAGAAGAGACATTGACGAGCAAAAATTTTCCCCCAGCTTTCGTCGTACAAATTCAGGTGGGAGACAGGAGAGGTGTGTGTGTATTGCAAAGCATAGAGCAGGAAGAGTGTGAGTGTACGTGTGTGTGGGTGTGTGTCTATTTGTGCGACGAGAAGGAGCACGAACTGAACTGAGAACGAGCATTAACAAGCTTACAATTAAGAGTCTGTATGCTGTCATAATATTAGTCATGTTATAATGCTAAGGCTTCACTTTAAAGAGATTAATGGATTTGTAGCTCTTCTGTGATACAATGTATGCCAGGGGGTCGTAGAAAATATACTCTTAAAGGAAGAATGTGCGACTTTTTGCTCCAGTGGATGTCGCCCTGTGCCCTGCATTGCTTCACATTGCATATAAATTGACACAGAATGATGGTGATCTAAAAACGCTTTCAAATAAGAAGTGAGTAGGGTATGTTATTTTTATTTTCTCTAGTCCTTGACTAAAACAGTTTTATAAGCCAGAAGAGGAGCTTTTTATTTGTCAAACCTGATGGAAACACAGCTCCATCAATAACATTGCCAACAGGAATTGTGCTACTAACTCATTGTAGACAGTCATGACTCAGGAAGACATTTACATAGGATGTACTTGATTTCTGCTATATTTATGTATCAAAGGTGACACAGTCTTCCTTTAACCGGGCTTGTTTGTTTGTTGCAGCCTGGCAGTGGCAGACATGCTGGTGAGTGTGTCCAACGCCTGGGAGACGATCATCATTTACCTCCTCAACAACAGGCAGCTGGTGGTGGAGGACCACTTCATCCGCCAGATGGATAATGTGTTTGACTCCATGATCTGTATCTCAGTGGTTGCGTCGATGTGTAGCTTGCTGGCGATCGCTGTGGACAGGTAATGACGGAGGGAGGCTCGAAGAGATGCATGCAAGTCTAGTTAATTGCATTACTCGGTTGTATCCTGAAAAGTCCATCTTTTAATTAACCTTGTAAAAAATAACTTGCATAAGGTTGTTTTACAGAGAAGGCTTTGTGATCAATTGAAAAAGACCGGCGCTGCACTGGTGCCCTCAATAACTGATTATCAATTCTTCCAGTTTTGTCTCAGTTGCAAAGACCATAAATATTAGGGTTGTTTTGAGTTGGTGTTCTTTAAATAATGAATGATAGTTCGAGGATATTTTCTTATTCAAAGGTCACAAAAATTAAATTAAAATTGAAATTAAAAATATGAACAGCTGCTATGGTGGTTTAAATTGATGTATTTGATTTGTCAGCCTTTGAGAATGCAGAAATGCTTTGACATTAACCCCCAAGGAAAAATCTCTGCTCACTATAATGTTACCACCTGTAGCATGCTAATTTAATTTGAACCATTGTGCCTTTATTTGTGCCTAAATGTGTGAAGACCAAAAGCTTTGCATATTTTCTGGCATAAGTCAATTACACAGAAAGACAAGTTTAATCCTGTAAACGCAAATTAAAGGAGCAATATGTTAGATATCTAGTCAATTAAATTACTAAAGCTTCAGACATTAAGGAAACATGCTATGTTGTGGTGCTGATTTTTCTGTCAACAACGCAGCAGCCAGCATGTCCTCCTTCTAAGTTTCGGTGCCAGTCCGGATTGGTCTGTTTTGCCATGCTAACAGCAAACCAACAGTTGTTGCAGCGTTGGAAGTAAACTGGTTCAAATACAACTGATTCCCGACTGAAAAAGTCTCAGCTTATTACTAATAAGCTACACGACCAGAAACATGGTAAAACTAGGATAAATATCGGAGCTGCTTTTGAAAGGTTAAGAGAGGTTAGAAAATAAAGGTTTCAAGACGGATGCAGAGCTGGCTAAACACTAAAGCTTCAGTATCTGCGACATGACACCCGTATGCACATAGACTCTAGGGAGGAGGGAGCGGGGGGAGATTGCTCTCTTCAATGATTTGAATTTGGACTGCAGCACTAATTTTAAATGCTAGATGTCAGAGTTATAAATATTGTCATTATGAATAGGCATGACTTAAAGTTTGCAAGCAAGAAATAAAAGGCATCCTGTTTAACAACACCTGTGAGTATTACAATTGTTACGTCCTAATATTACACTAGACATAGAAAATCATAACCCAAACATTTTCAATACTCATTTGTATTTCTCCTATTAGGTACAGATCTCCCAACGCATAAACTTTTACTGCAACTAGTCTGCATCATGATGCAATTTGTTTTCTGATCACATCAACCATTAAAATGCAATCACTGCAATCTGTTAGTTTGTGCATCACGTAGCTGCAGTAACACAGATTTATTTTGCCGTGCTACTTGTTCAGTGCAGTGAAAATAGACACTTGGCGAAGACAGACAAGCGTCTCAGACTTATCTAAGATTGGTAGTTTGTTTCCAGCCAACAAAGTTTGGCCTTGATAAAAGCTGAGCCTGAGCTTTTGGTTATCAAACCTGGCACAGGTGAGCCTAAAGAAGCTGTAAGGAGCAGTTCAGTGAGTCCAGACAACAGTCCTTGGAGAAGGCAGTGAATCAAACAAGATGTGTTTGTGAGGGGTGATGTTATGAACACAGACTTTTGGTCTAAAAGAGCTTATATCTCTCAACCAAATGGTCATCTACACAAAATACTCTATTCATCACCCCTTTTGAATTCAAAGAAAAGAGCAGGTTCATGATACGTGTGCTTCCTTAAGGACATTGTGTATCGAACCCTAACCGTTCTTAAAGAGTAATTTGTTCTTAAAACTTAACCTAAATGTATTATTTTTTTGATGGACATATATAGACACATACTTGATATTTGTTGATACTTTTATTTTGATCAAGCGATGTTTAGTCTCAACTACAAAACTTTCAACTAAATGTTAAAAAGAAAACACATAAAAACAACACTTCAAACCTACCTTAACGCGTGGATATTTAAATAACAAATCTGTCAAATGTTTTATTGTTTAACAGCAGCAGCATCAAGAATAAATGTGACGTCGAATCACATAAACTCTGAATTACAGTGAGATATGATCAGTGTCTATTTCTGTTTGTTTCCTTTAAGATTCAAGTTAATCTTTCACTTTGTGTGGTGTTGGTTCTTTTTCAATCAATCATTATTTGTATAGCACCAGTTCATAACAAACATTATCTGATTTTCTGATGATAGCTTTCTCTGAAGGAGTAATATCATTTAATATTTGTTTGTAGTTTATATTTACTATTTACTATTGAAGCGTCTAATATAATCTAACAACTCTGAAAGCTTGTTTTCACTTCAAGCAGCACTAACTCCACTTCAGAACTATTAGGTTTTCTCAAATGTAGAGTCCAGTGGGCAATTTGATTTGGTATTACAGTTTGAGCATTCCTGACCTCTGTTTCTTCTGAATTCTGGGTGACTTCTGCGTCTGCACTCGGCCCTGCTGTCTCATGCCCTTATACAGGCATTAAAGGGGCGTTTTTCTAATTAGAAACCACAGGCACAAACTTGTAAACTTTTAGGGACATGGTACTTATCAGTTTAGGAACACATGATGAATCTACTCAAGATTGCTCTTAGGATCTTCTGATGGACAAATTCAAGAAGAAATCTCGAAACAACTATTAGGAACTTATATAACACATTAAACGAGAAAGAGAAACCGTTGAAGTGATGAGATGGGCTCTGTACCCTTTCATTTTTAATTTAAATGCTGAAGCAGTATTGACATTTATTCCAACTTTTGTAGACATCGTAAAGGCATCCGTCCTCATTGGTTTGTGCAATTAATCAGAGGCAATTAAGTCACAGATTACATCAGGAATCAACATCTGTTGTCATCCTCAGGTACGTCACTATCTTCTATGCTTTGAGATACCACAACATCATGACAGTGAGAAGAGCCGGCTGCATCATCGGAGGAATCTGGACCTTCTGCACGGGCTGCGGGATCATCTTCATCATCTACTCAGACACCACCCCTGTCATCATCTGCCTGGTCTCCATGTTCTTTGCCATGCTGCTCATCATGGCCTCCCTCTACAGCCACATGTTCATGCTGGCTCGTTCGCACGTCAAGCGCATCGCCGCCCTGCCGGGCTACAACTCCATCCACCAGCGGGCCAGCATGAAGGGAGCCATCACGCTGACCATCCTGCTGGGGATCTTCGTCGTCTGCTGGGCCCCCTTCTTCCTCCACCTGATCCTGATGATCTCCTGTCCGCGGAACCTCTACTGCGTGTGCTTCATGTCCCACTTCAACATGTACCTTATCCTCATTATGTGCAACTCAGTGATCGACCCGCTGATCTATGCTTTCAGGAGTCAGGAGATGAGGAAGACTTTTAAGGAGATCATCTGCTGTTACAGCCTGAGAAACGCCTGTACCAACATCTGCGCTCTGACGGGGAAGTACTAAGAGATGCAAAGACACAAAAAGATGAGTGGGATGAACAGACTGAATCTGAGACTGCAGCCTGATCATGAGAGAGTCGATAGAAGAATAGTTTGAGAATTGGTTCATTGCTCCTATCTGCCAGAAGCACATTTTTGTATACTGCTTCAAATGAACTGAAAATGGGACACTCACTTCTGTCTCCTGCTGTATCCACTATGTACATGAAGTGGTTAATTTATGAGTTAAATTATATCAACACAGCTAGGACAAACTGGGATCATGATTCATATGAAAGTAGGTCAAAGAAAACAGTTTGTGACCTTTCTTTCATTGTAGCTGCCATTCTTGTATCATTCTGCTTTGGCCATTTATTTGGATACAAAAGGATGTAATCACACCTTATTACCCTCATACATGTTTTTTTCATTACAATCTCTAATCTCTAATTATTGTGATTCTGTAATATCGTAATTGTGTAAAAGAGCTTATATGCTTGCTTTAAAAGTCACAGTCACCAAGGTCCTTTATTTACATAAATGCCTTTTAGGACGCCATCTTTTGATGATTGAGGAAAAAAAACACTAAACCTACGTCCCATTTAATAAAGCCATTACATTTTGAGGTTGTTTTCAATCTGTGTCGAGAAAAAAATAGTGTGGTGCACATAACCAAGCAATGTTTTGTCTGACAGAGGGAGGATGGTGAAGAAGAGGTGTTGTGTTTTCTCTGGTATCTGCAAAGATGCAGGGAACTGTCAGCAAAGCTGAACACTAAAGAGAAGTCAGACAACCACAACAACAACAACAGAGTTTACACATTACCAACATTTGTGGTGTTGCACCAGCTTAGATCATTCCAACGTAGGCATGAGTTATAACTACACCTATAGCTCCTAGAAGGCGTTAAATACTCGACTACCCAAAACAGCACGTCACTCCGCTGTTCATATTGCTCCACTGGCTCCCAGTTGCTGCTCGCATCACATTTCAACCCTGCTGCTCGCTGACAAAACAGCAACAAAAGCGGCTCCTCCTTACCTTAACTCTCTCATCTATGGCTACACTCCCCCCTGCCCACATTCTGCCAGTGAAAGACACCTGCTCCAATGTTCCCAAAAGGGGCCTAAGTCTCTAGCTTTGAGTAATCAGAAGACTTGAAAAGTGCTATACAAGCTCAAGTCCATTTACCATTTAGTCTTCTCCACTGTCGCCCCCCGGTGGTGAAATGAATTACCAACCTGCATTTGATCTGCAGAATCCCTTTCCACCTTTAAGAAAAAGCTAAAGACCCAGCTATTTTATAAACACCTACACACTTAATGATATTGATGCGACTGACAATAATGAGGATGATGATACTGATGACGAGAGTAATATTTAGGATGGTGTTGATGCTGATTACAATTCTCATGAGAAGCTGTTGATGTTGATGATGAAGAAGATATATTAAAACTAAAAAACTGTGTTTTGCCTCTGTGCACTGTCTGTCAGCACCTGTGTCTGATCAGACACTCAACCCACTCAAATTGAACAAGTGCTCTGTAAGATACGGTTGTCATGGTGTATGGTTTTGAAAAGAGGGATAGCTTGCAGGATGAAGAGGAGCAGTGGGTTTGATGTCAGTTTGTTCTCCATGAAAGATTCCCTCAGCAATGCATCATGACTATGATTTGTACTCCTGTGTATGTGTTTTGGTTGGAGGTGTGTATGGTGGTGATGTCGGAGGTTAAGAAAGACTACACATCGAGGCAGGTGAGGGCCCTTGATCACCCCCAAAGATTTCTGAGGTCAAATACATTTGGAACCATTTTTTAAAGGCAAGTATACCAGCGCTCTAGGCAACAAGAATCAGAAAAGCAATCTTGTGTTAAAGGGATAGTTTGGATATTTCAGAGTGGGGCTGTATGGGTACTCGTGAATAGTGAGTGTATTGACCACAGGAGATGACGGTCAGCTCAGCCCAATTATTGAGCAACGGTCAGAGTGCTTGCAAACGGAGCCACGTGTAATTTTAACTCATTTTAAGAAAAATATAATCCTTCATCACCCAACCAGCTGATCAGTGTGCTGCAGGCGGAGGAAAATGTATGTGTATTCCTAAATAAAACCTAGTCTTACATCGTTTTTGATTTCTTGGTCAGTTTTTAAAACAAGATGAAATGTCGTTGTACAAACGGCCCTGTTAAGCAGCGGTGTATAGCCTAGCTTTAGTGCCGACACTCCGACTTTGACAAGTACCTCAAACAGCCCAAATTCAAAAATCTCTTTAAAGGCAGGGTTGTTAATTTTCAAAAACTAGCATGATTTTGAAAGTAGCATTCCCTCAGTGCTCTGTCTGCACCCACCCCCTCCCCTCTTTGCACCCTCAAAGCCACGCCCCCTCACTTACATGCACAAACACCATTGGTCCAGAAGCGGACCTCAGCTCATTCTTTGAATGTGAGCTCGTGCATGCATGGGTTAGAGAACGGGCAGGGAGACAGGGAGGTCTGATTGGTTCATCAAATTGGTACCTCGTGGCAGACATTAGTCAAAGTTTTTACATGCTTACTATTGCTGCAGATGACAGATTTTCTTTGTTCCATTTTCAGAGCACATGAGTTATTAATGTCTGTCAGGACCTAAAGACAATTTCAACCAAAATCTTAAAAAGTGTATCTGGGGAAAATTACCAACCCTGCCTTTAATGTAAAAGAGTAAAAGGAGCACAACTCCAGGCTAACTGTCTGTCAGAGATTTGTAGAAGAGCAGGTGATGTTTCTCCTGATGTATCTGAAATTTCTCTGTTGCTTTAGTGAATAATGTGTTTGTACCTGTAGCAACCTCAGAAACCACCAGACTCCTCACGTGTCTTCAGATATGTGCAGTCTTGTTTTTATCTCTAAGTGGAAAGAGAGTCCCTTTGCAACTTTAAGAAAAAGCTAAAGACCAAACTCTTTTATGAATAATTACGCACTTAATGATATTGATGATAATAATGATAATAATGATGATGATGATGATGCGTTGATCCTGATTAGAGCTCTAAACAACAGCTGTCGATAGAGTTCTTAATGTAGATATACTACTAAGTGCTCTGCCTCTGTGCACTGCCTGTCAGCACCTGTGTCAGAACGGACTAAAAGCTGGTCATTTGCACCTACTGATGTTGTTTTCTCCTCTCTAGAGCCTTTCTTGTGTTGTTCTTACTCTCTGATGTTCATTCCCTTTTTAGATAAAAGCGTCGGCTAAATGAATTGTAGGAGGCTGCCATTAAACTTTTGGATTGCTTCAACTGTCAGGAACCAATTTTCTGCAGATGCTGTATGCCTGCCTTCCCCTGCTGTGTGGCAGGTATTGAGCACTTTACTTAAATCTGCCAATGCTCTGTATTATCATCTCTGCTCTCACCTCAATGCAGAGGGTCATTACTTTCTATTGCACGTCTTTGTATCCTAATTATAGCTGCTCTTTTATGTCCGTGCCCCCTGAGGATGCCAACATACCTCCTCCGTGACCACAGCCTGTATTCAATTCCTTTATGTAAAGATGACATAAAGTTAGACTTGAAATGTAAGAAATGAATGTACAAACAGCTTCACTGTGTTGGTGCCGCCTACCTCCTTACTGAGAAGCTTGACAGAAACTTCATCACAAAATGCAACATCTGCTGAAACTACTTTCTGATGAAAAACCTTATGCATCACTTTAGGCACAGACTACACATTTGTTTACAATTGTTACATATTGATATTTATTGCAAAAGAGTGAGCCATGTCTGTTAAGTTAAGTTGCAACCATGTTAAGTTGCATTTAAAAATGAATCATCTGCACTTCAATACATTTGACAAAAGATTAGAGATACAGGAGAAAACAGTATTAAAGAGATGCTTATTTCTGTGTTGTCTTGTAATGATCTTAATGTAGCTGGTATTAATGTTTTTTTTTTACAAGTTCTTACAATTTGAAGATCAAAAGAATAGCAAAGGCATATTATGCTTCTGCATGGAGAAGTGGTTTTATTTAAAAAACAAACAAACAGTGATACATACATGTTTTCCTTTTCCTCAGGTTTTACGTAATGTAGAAAAAAACAGAAATGGATCGTAATAGCTTGCTCTAAATCAGCCTCCAACATGAATTATCTGGGCAATCATGTATAATGACTCATTGTTGTTGTTGATTGTAAATTAGTGGGTTCCTGTTCCCATCGCAAATAGAAGCAAAAACACTGAATGTGATGTGACACTGGTCAGACGTGAACCCCACCTGCTCATTACCTGCTGCGCTTATGTACAGTGAAATAGTACAAATAGCCGAGGGGGCAGATTGTATGGTTGTTAAAAGCAGAGTGATTGCATGAGAGATTGTAAATGTCAGCTTCAGTTGCAATAGCTGCTTTCAGTGCTACCTGTGTTGTTGAAAATGCATTTTATTTCTGTGAGCCTGAATAAAAACAAACGATCAAAAGGTGAGTGCTTTCATTTTGTTTGCACAAAAAGCACAGATATCTTTTGGTCATGTGCATGATGGAAATCACATTGCCGTGATCCATACAACAAAAAAAAAGTGAAATAGGTTTTGGGCAGTATTTCTCTCATTTCAATGAGGTGCAGAAAGGCAATTTCCAACAAGATTTCAAGAGATTGACACCTTGGATGAAATGAGATCGCATCTAAATCCCGAGAGAAAAGGATGACGGAGGAGGGGTGGATAGTTAAATAACCAGCAAGGAACAGAGAAGACTGACAGATGGCAGCTTTCGAATAAAAAGAAAGTTCAGTTTTGCAGAAGTCAAAGTAAACACATGCATGAACAGTCAAACACTTGAAAGGAAAACCAAATGTTCAATACGCATAAGCCTTGACGTATCCAGCAGTGAATACTTGGTGCATATTGTAATTGAGGTAGTAGCTTGACAACAAGAAGGCCATGACAGCTGTTCCACAGCAGTACACAAAACGTAATCTCTCCCAATTTAAACACAAATTAGATCTTGTAGTTTAGATTTTTTTTTTTCTTCTTGATTTAATAGCAATAAACATATGCATGCTTGATACATACAGTATACATAACAAACACTGTATATATCATAGCTAACTGTAGTATGTTTTTAAACTATCTTACATTATTTATATTGATATGAAGTCAACTTCTTAAAAGTCAATATTGATTATTTGTCTTACACAGGAATCAAACTTATTGTGCTAAAGAAATTCCTATTTGGCCTATCCATTGCCTCCGACCTCCTGATACTAGAGGGGTACCTACATCCTCTTTGATGTGTCTTGAGACTGGCCAAGCTGGATTTCATGATTTTGAGTGAGAATGTCATGTGGTAAGCTATGGTTCAAGAAAAGTGCAGTTCCTCAAGTGTCCACTTGAGGCTGGGGTGGGTGAATATTGTATAATTTGTCAGTTATTCACAAGAGTTATTCATACATTTGCAAACAGTGTAGCGTTTACAGGCTGGTGGACACGTTGCTGTTTGTCAGGAGACTTAAGGCCAGCTGACAAAAAAGTGAGCAAGATAGGTTGGCAAGGATCCAATATGGCGACTGTCATTATTGGTGAAAAATTGTGAAACTGCTTCTGGGGGTCTCTGCCGGACAGTTTTCAGCACCAAACATTACTTTTCCTGCATTCTGATCATTTTTATGCATCAATTTGTGCATTTTCTGTACAATTTTAGAATTACAATCTAATCTTTTGTCCCTTTTTTATACGTATGTACTTTTCAAATCTCCTAAGACACATGTTCACCCAATGATGAATGCATTGGTACTGGGTTCTTGTTTTTGTCTTAAAGGAAGAATATACAACTTTTTGATCCAGCAGATGTCGCCATTGAACACCAGCATGAAACCAAAACAACTCGAGCTGCATTGTTGTGTTAGCATGCTAATGCTAGCGACCTTTAGTTTGCTCATAGCTTCACACTGCATGAAGATTTACACTTGATCTAAAAGCGCTTACGTGACATTCAAATAAGCAGTGAGTACAGAATGTTATTCTTCTGATTTCTGTCTTATTTAAGTTTAAATTGTCGCATATTCAGCCTTTAAGGGATGGAACAGATTACAGACGCACTCCTGCCTGTCTGCGTGCACTGAACGCAAGAGAGAGAGAGAGAGAGAGAGAGAGAAAGATAGAGAGAGTGAGACAGAGAGAGAGTGCGCTGACATGCTTCACGGAAATAATTGCCAATTTCCGAACCTAATTTAGCCCACAGATTTTGTAGCCTGCACAAGGTTTTGCACATAATTTATGAAACTGGACCAACTGTTTTCAAATCCGTGCGAATGGACTCGTAAACCGTGGGTACAGATTCCCATTGTGTGGGCAACACCACAGGAGTGCAGCTTGTTCTAAATGCATATAAAGGAGCAAGTGAATCGCCATCACTTAAAAATTTGATTAAATATTATGTGTGATCAAGATCGTGATTTTTGTTTATTAACATGCAGCCCTAGTAGATATTTACAACCTAATGAATCCAGAGCAGTCTGCTGGAAACTGCAAGCTTTCAGTGAAAAAGAAAAAAAACAAGAGAGAATCTATATTTCTTTTAGGAGCACTGTCTCCATTCTGAACAAAGCAGCATCTTCCTGAAGGTGTGTCTGAGCTCGTTGCTGCGAAAGGCATAGATGGCGGGGTCAATGAGGGCGTGGCTCATCATGAGCACCACATGAAGCTGGAACAGCGATCGGTAACACTCACAGTACGGGTTCAGAGGGCACACCATGATGATGGTCAGGTGAAGGAAAAATGGTGCCCAACATACCACAAATACCCCAAACAGGATGGTGAGAGTCAGGGCCCCCCTCATGCTGCCCCTCCACCACTGACGCCGAAACTTTCTCCCCTTGCTGGACGGCAGAGCAGCGATCTCCCTGGCATGGCTGCGTGCCAGCATGAACATGTAGGCATAGAGGAAGCAGATAAACGCCAAGGAGATGAAGAAGAAGGCAACAAAGCATATCATGATGAACTTTGAGGCGAAGAACTGAACCATGAGCACGGCCCACACCCCACATGTGGTCCAGATGACAGCTAAGATGACCCCCGCACGCTGCATTGTCATGATGTTGTGGTATTGGAGAGCGTGGAAGATGGTGATGTAACTGGAAGAGAAAACAAATAGTTCACCATTAGCTTGATTTATTTTTTGGTAAATTGTGCAGCACTTGGATGCTTGACAGCTGAAACTATCAGTGTCTCCAGTGCTGGTATCACATGGGTTTTAATGATATGCCTATTCATGGTTAAAGAGTGATATAGAAATATGCAAAAGGAGACATATCAAAGGGTTTATCTTTGGTTCAGATGAGCAATTCTCTAGTATTTGCATAAATCTTCTAAATTTTGATACCCCAACTAAATTAGTTGGTTTTCACACATGGCTGCTGAACATTTCCAGAAATGGTTCTCATGAGGTAAGATGTGACATGATGAAAGAAAAGACGCTGCATAAATCCAAGATGGAGGACGAAGACACAGAGTCTGACACTATAATGACAGTGTATTCCCTTTATATCACTGCTATGTGCAATTTGACATAACAACAGTATCAACTAAAGCTCAGAGAAAAACAAACTGTCTATCAGTAAAGAATATGAAGCAGCATCATCACATGAATCAGGATTGTTGAAATCACACGCTGGTCGCATGATATGAAGGTCATCACCTTGGCTGAATTTTCCTGAATATTTACTGTTGGCTTTACACATCACCTGAACCTCGAACAGAAATGTTTCTATGGATCTGGCAGTCAAAAAGCCTGTGAAACGCAGGTTGATAAATTTGGTGTTCCCACATACATCCCACCCTGAAAATTTAGGGAAATTTAGGGGAATTTTTAGGAGTTTGCACATGTGTGAAAACACCGTTAGACCGTTAGAAAATCTCGTTTTCAAATTTTAAAAAATCAGCACATTCATGATTGATTACCTTTTTTGTATGAAGTAACAGTAGTTAAAGTAAAGTGAAATACGTGGCTTCATGTGCATGTTGGATGAGAGAAACCGAGAGAACAGTAGCATGGTGGTTCTGTGAGGTGTACATGACATGCAGAAAACTCCTTAATAAGCAGCAGTTCCATAAGTTTAGTGCTCAGAGAAAAGTTCTGACTTCTAACTCCAAATTATCCCCAGAGACCTAGTTAGTGGGACCTGATACTTTTAAATTGGGCTCAATTTAAATGTGAGCCCAAAATAATTGGTCAAGGGACCCAGACAGAAAGACAGTTCAAAACAGACTGCTCAGTTGTTAACAGATCACAGAAACCACTTTGTTTTGCAACCTACAGTTTTCCCACCCTACTTCTGCTTTCCTTTACAGACAGTGCTATCCCCCCTTTGAATTATAAAGGAAAAGAAAAATAGCTAAGAGCATCGTGATTCCTTTGAAATGGGGATTTTGGAGGATTAGTGTGCTGGGGAGGAAAAGATTTAATAAATATAAAAACTATTACTTGATATTCTCTGTGCAAATCCAAGCCCTGCCTGCATACTTACCGATCCACAGCAATAGCCATGAAGCTGAAAATGGAGCCAACAAACGACATACACAGCAGGGAATCGATCACATCGTCTAATTTTGTCTCTGAGGAACCCTTCTTCTGCAGGTGTCCGTTCTCAGCTAGCACTATCATCAAGTTCTCACAGGTTTTGGTGAGGCTGGCGATGGTGTTGAAGGCTGCCAGGCTGCAGATAAAGCAGTACATCGGCGAGTGCAGGTTTCTGTTTCGTATGACAGCCACTACGACTAGCAGGTTCTCAGCCAGACTCACGACACCGATTGCAAAGAAGATGGGGAAGGGGACTGTCACGTCAGGGCAGTCTGACTGGTTCACTGTGGAAACATTCATAGCTAGCGAAAATGGTGTCATGGATTAACTAAATTAAATGATTAACAAATCAACTTTTTTGCTTTGATTAAAAAAACAACAAAAAACAACAAAAAACAGGATTAGCCTTAGCCCCGCACAGGGCGGGATTCAAACTGGATTAAAGGAAAAATACAGGAAACTACTAAATTGGTAAAAGAAAAACCCTTTTAAAAAGTAGTTCATTTTTCAAGACATTTTTTTAATTATATATTACACTAGAATGTTGTCTTGCTTCATGACACAGTAGATTAGGTTGACCAGGGTTTAAAAACGAAGCAGAAGGATTTGGTCACCAAAGAATGTTTTACTGGAGCAGCTGTGGGTTTGTGTCAATCCTGGCTCCACCTGTGGACACAATGTAGTGCGAAGCCCCCTTTAAAGCGTTGGTAATCCAGATCTGTTAATCCCAAAAATATGCTCCTGAATCAGGTTGCTCCTATCCAGTTTTCTTTGAAAACAGGGATAAAGATGATCTGTATTACACAGTCCTGGGTGGAAATAAATGGTTTTCCAAATTCAGATAATTTTTATCAAGATTAAACCTTTCTAATGGCTGGGCAAGGGAGTTCAATCTGACTCAAAAAGGTGGTGTTAGCTAACACAGGGCAGGCACAGAAATGGCACCAGACTGTTCCCCACAGCCAATTTGTCATTGTCATGAATGATCCTTTTTGAATGTTTCTTATTTGCAGCCAGAGTGAGTCAGTTAGTGGTCTTGGCAGATCAGCTATGCTGTACACCTTGTTCTCCTCTGTCCTTCAAATGTGAGACTTTTCAGTAGATATATTTTTCTTCAGTCAGGGGGGTGTTTATCCAGGGCTCACAGACTGTCACTCAATGCCAGAGTTGTTTGCATGAGATTGCAGTGCAGCTGTAGGTTGCTGATCTTCTGCACTGTGTCGTGCCACTCCTGTCTGTCTCCAGTCTTGAGAAGAGTGTTGGATGTGTCACCTGAGAAAAACACAAGTAAGACTATTTATTTGTATTATAGTCCCCCTGATTCTGTAAATGATCTGCTCAATAAATCCCATTAAAAAAACTTCACATGCTAAATATGGTGTTAGTCGTGTAAATCATTTCTGTTACAGCTGTATATCCTCTCAGTAGAGCAGTGTGACTTTTTATTTAGGGTCCTAAAGGAGCAATATGTAGTATATCTTCTGAATGTAATCCTAAAATGACCTTACTATATCATGAACATTAAGAAACATGCTATGTTAAAGCGCTTGCTTTTTAGATAACAATAGCAGTCAGTATGTCCTCATTCTAAGTTTAGATTCGGGTCAGGAATGGTTTGTTTTTGTTTGACCAGAGAGGGTATAGGTAGCTTTAAGTAATCCCCACACGGCAGTTTTGAATGCCACTCCGTTTGCCAAAATGAGACCAGTGATTATGGCAAACCAACAGATGTTGCAACAATGGAAGGGGGCAATAAAGTCGAATATAACTGATTCTACCTTGCCTAAAAAATGTTGTTCTTTTTTATGCATGCATGACCAGAAATGTGGTAAAATCGGATACATATTTGAGATACTTTTAGAAAATGGAGCCAAGTTAGAGCACATAAAGGTGTCAAGATCGTTGCAGGGCTGGCTAAACACTGAAGCTTCCTTGTCCGTGACATGTAACTAATTGTGTGCACATCTACTCTATGGAGCAGGGGGTGGGGTTCACAGCTCTCTCCAATGTTTTGAACTTAGACTACAGTACCCATTTTAAACACTACGTGTCAGAGTTGCCATTGCTCCTTCAACAACTCACTATACCCTTCAACTTCTAAATGGTTCAATGCATTGTCCTCCTGGTTATGTAACACATTAAAAAAGAACATTTTATATAATCATAACAATGGAAGACATTTTTTGTAAGTGGGACTTCAAATCTAAACTCCTGCTGGGCTAAAACCTGAACATGATTAAAATGATTAAACCAAGCTTTTATTTAACACCCTCTGATCACTCTCTCCCTCCTCATGCCAAAATACGTATCACAGCTGCTTCATCAAAGTCAATAAAAGACACCTTTGACAACTCTGCAACTTTGTTCTTGGCAGAAGATCATGGCTTTTACTTGCTCTTTGGTAACATGATATACAGTATGTAGCAATAAGTAAGGTCTTTTACCTGCACTAATGTAAAGTGTCTTCATATAACATTTATCATCAATTGGCGCTATACAAAATAATGTTGTTATAGTTTAGCTTAAATGTAAATTTGCTGTGCTTTTCGATATCCAACCCAAATCATGAAACTGCAGAATTCCTGCATGAAAACATTTTCTACCTTGTTACTGTGATTTCTGTGTGTGAATGTATAGAAATAAGTAAATGCTGATGGACACTTTACATAGCAACCTCTTCCATCAGTGTGTGACTGTGATGTGAATGGGTAGGTGTGAACTGCAGTGGAAAATGCACTTTGATTAGTCAGAAGACGAGAAAAGCGCTATTCAAGCTCAAGTCGATTTTACCATTTGCCGAGTTGTGACCATAGACTTTAAATATTAAAGGGATACTTCACCCGTTGAAACATGAGTCTGTATTGACATTGGGTCATATATGTAGTAAAATGTGAAAGAAATTTTGAAGTTGGTGCTTCTTTAGCGAGAAAAGGCAGAAAGTGTCTTTTCGGCTCATGTGGATGAAAGACACCAACTCCCAGAATGCACAGCTCCGCAGGCCACTTCCACTGAATCTCAGGGTTTATTTACAGACATTTATTACAACACATACAGCCGTTCTGATCCTGAGATTTCTGATTTCTGAGATTTCTTCCAGAAGGAATTGGCATCTTGGAAATTCCTGGCAGAAAACAGACTCTATGTCTGTGTTCATAAGCAAACAGTGAGAACACCGACACCACCAGTCCACCCCAGCTCGAGCCGCCCCCGGGCTCCTCGTCCTCACCGCTGCCGGCCAGCAGCCACAGCAGTCGAGGCATAACAGCTGACTCGCTGCAATATTGCGGTTCGTAGAGATAGCCATGAACATCCCATTCGAGCACAAGACCTTCAAAATCCCCTTCATCAATATCATCCATATTTTTTCACTATTGTCGGTTCTTATCAGCTTTCTCCATAGAGCCTGTTAGAATAGCTACCAAGCAATATGGCGGGCGTTAAGTGTTGATTCTGTGAGTTAGATCCCACCCACTGATCTGCGATAGGTCTGTAGCTTCAGTGGTCGAAAATATGAGGAACTAGCGACGTAGTTTCACCCCTGCTAACCACAGCAGCCGCCGATGATGCAAAATGACGATTTTTGCCCTTTTTTTTGCTCCTTTCAGACTTAAAAATACAAAGATTTCCCGTCTCGGGGGAAAATGAGGGCAGGATGCACAACCATTCAAAAATACTACCGAGTTTCTAATGATACAAAGCTTAATGCAAATGGGTGAATTATCCCTTTAATGGACGAAGCCTGAGTGACGTCGCCCATCTGTTACTGCTGTCGGCAGCTGTCGCCATGCAGGAAATCCTGTGTCAACCTAACGACAGGCTTATCCCCCATCCTCAAATACTACATGCGTGCCGCGGTCTGGCAGTTTTGCTCCGTCAGATGGCGCTCAGCCTTCCCCACTGGATCAGTTTCTGGAACATGAGCGCAGCCACGAGCAGCTGTACACACATCACAGAAGATCTCGAAGATCAAGCAGGGGAAAAGACAAAAACATGCAAACAACATGTTGCTTTGTCTTTCTGATGATGAGTTGTTGTTGGTTCAGTGTCGATTTTTGCGTAATGTTGAAATAGTGATGACAAATACGATCGAGAGTCTGTATATTATATGACTTCCTGTCGGGATTAATGTTGTGTCATTATAAATAGTATAGCATAGAGTAGAGTCTTGAGATAACATCTGTTATAAATTAGCTCTGATTGATTTGTTGTTTTCACCAAATTTGATGTAATTCCACTCATTATTTGTGAAAGATGACTCAATTTTAAATCAGGCTGTGATGGAACAATGAGCAAACAACGATCCAGCTTCAAAGATATATTTTTCTGACACTGAAAACTAAAATGCTCCGCAGTGTGTTCTCCAGCTTGCACTGCACTTTAACTCAACAATGAGTCTGCGTGATGCATGAGCTACAGCCACAGTACCACCCGCTGCTCGGCTCTACAGGAACTCCACCCCACTGAAATACAAGAAAATGACGCTCTGACGGACAAAGCTGTGAACAGGACTGTTCACATTGTTATCTTTGCTGTTCGCTCTCACAATGATTTACTGTATTGACAACATGATGGCTAACAGTGGAAATCATGTCCTTGTTTCTTTTTGTCTGTATGCAGTTTTCACATATGCACTCCTGAAAATATCCAGATAATTTCAGGAGGACTGCTTATAACATGCTCCTCACAGCGGGAAACTAACCCTGTCAGAAGGGGGGGGCTGGGGTCTCCAGAGGTAAGACGGACGTAATAAAAATAATAGTGGAAGAAGCAACAGAGTACGCTACAATGCAAAATGAGAATATTTGAGTATATATCAATGCTACATGAAATTCAACGGAATCACACTATCAACAAAAGAGCGGTGAATAACATACTGACAAACAGAAAACATAATGCAGCAGGCAATCTACATTGTACGTCACTCCCCTCCTATTGGCTCGAGGTGAATTCTCCGGAGAATTCCCTGCTGCGTTCTCACAACAGCTCACTCGGATTTGCTAAGGAAAAAGATACTAGGCGTCTGGCAGGAGAAACTCCGGGTGAAGCTTGAGTGAAAAATGTGACAGCTCCTCCTGGAAATATCAGGATGTTTTCAGGAGATTTCTGCCCTATTTGTGTATGTTTGAGGGAATAAACTAAAAAGTGTGATGTTTTGACTCAAGTTCTACTGTTTATTTAGTTTTAAGATGGGCTGAGGAAGTTTGGAGAAACACCAAAAATAAAAAAGTTTAAGACTTATTCATATATATTTGAGGATCCAACCCTAATAATGAATTGCTTCTGTTAAATTCAAAGAAAGA